CTGCCGTGATGACCGGCTTTGGCTTGGGTCATCGATGACATTGGGAATCATTTTGGGCTCCACCAATTGTCTAATAATTTCTCGGTTGAACCTCGATCTTTTCACCATTGTCTCGGTTCAACCTCAATACTTGCACACTTTTTCTCTTCATTGCACTTATTTTTTTGAGTTAAATCCTGAAAAGCCCATTTTGATATGCATCTACAGTTTTTACGCACTTAATAACTTTTGGGCACAGTAATATGGTTAAATACGTTAGATACTTATACCGGGGAGGGAGGATGGGTTAAATAGTTTAGAGGAGGAAGTGTAAATGAAAGGCCCATGTTCGAATTCTTCTACATATACTAAAAAAAATTGTTACATACTTATATGGATGTGAAAGTTTTTTTTTGCAGACGTTGTAACTGTACATCACGAAATGAGAAAATTGATAGCATGATGTCAATATATTTGGCGTACACGTTAAGCGAAAGTGTTGCTAGAGTTAGGAAAACAAATTCTAAGTGGTGAATGAGTTTGACATGCAAACTTTTATACCCAAAAGGAAATATATAGCAGATATTTATCGTATATGACATGTTGTATTCAACTTTGAAATAAAAATTAGGGTTAGTGGCAAATTTCCCCTGCAATATGAGTTGAGTAGCATATTGTCTTTTGTAATCAGAAAATACATAAATTACTGCATGCAAGCAAGTGGCCGAATGCGTGGCCTAGAATTCTATGAGAAGTAGAAGTGTGAAACTGTTACGCCATTGAATACATAATGCTTTGATAGTTTTATCGTATGGAAACGGTATTACCAGCCACGGATTTAAGGGGGGGCTGGTGGGGGCTTAAGCCCCCCCCAAGCCGCCGGAAAACCCCCTATATATAGGGGATTCCGGCGGCCAGCCCAGCCCCCCCACGGTGAAAGGAGATAATGATAATGCCGGACAAACATAATGACTTGGACATGTCTCTGTATGAATCAATTCCTTTGCTCTATTGGTCGTTAGTTTCTTTCTACTTTTGATGTCAAGTGCATAACTAGCGGTAGATTAGGAATGCAGGGCCGGATAGATTTTTCTCCCCTCATTTCAACGGAGCAGGTTATCAATATAAAATTGAACAAAAATACAATGATCTATATATTGTTTTATACATATATATACATTTATACATAAACACATTATTATTTAATTATTTTTTAGTTTACTTCAATTTTTTTACATTGTTTAAACATAATGATTGTAAGTTTAGATTTCCTATTAAAAGTAGAGAAATGAATTAAAAAAAGATCAAAGTGATTTTTAACCTTGATTTTACATTGAATATTCAGTTAAGAATTTTAAAAAATAATTTATAATGTTGTTATTAATGTTTTATATACATAAAAAGTATAATTACACAATAGTGAGGGCACCCGTAGGTGTATAGGCAGGGTATATGGATAGAAAAAGCGGGGAACTGGGCCAGGGAGATTTTAGAACATCGGATCGAAGAGGGATCCCACACCCCATTGCCATCAAATGGCAGAATTTTCCCAATTCGTTGCTATTATAAATAAAAAGAATTTTAAAAGCACGGGACGGGAGAGGGATCTCCTGCCCTATAATTGCCATCCCTACGACAGAATTTTTCCAACTGCTTCTGTTGAAAGAGTATTTTCTGCAATGAATATTGTCAAGACTGATTTGCGCAACAAAATGGGAGACGAGTGGATGAATGACTGTCTGGTTGTATACATCGAGAAGGATATTTTTGCAACAATTGAAAATGAGCAAATATTGCAGCGTTTTCAACGGATGAAGACTCGCAGAATGCAATTGCCTCCTCTTCGTTATTCGAGTGCAACAACTACCAATACTTCAAGTGTTAATCAATAACAAATTTTTGGGTATGTATAATTATATGTTTTTATTATTTTTATAATTATTGATTCTAAATTTTACTTATTAAATATATTTATTTCGTGACAAAAAAAATTTTTTAATACACTTCAGCCCCCCCAAAAATAAATTTCTGGCTCCGTCCCTGGGTATTACTATATAATTTTTTAATTAAAGAAAATTATAGTGTCCAGGGAATGGTGACATAGCTGTAAATGGAAATAATCATAAAACTACACGAACTACTTTTGCTAAATAAGTGTTTTAGTTAGTTATGATAATTCAAACTATTTGTATACTTTTCATTGTAAAATACCAATATCATTTAAATATCAGAAGGAAATATTAATAATGAGAAAGAAATAAAAATGAAAGTTAAATACTTTATATGAATATTTAATTTCCATCTTTCTTATTCTTAATAAGAAGAGTATTATTAAAAATGGAATACTTTTTTTACAAAAAAGTAAAAGAATATATTTCACTATTGAATAACACCAATATTATACATATAGTCTATATATTTCTCTTTGATTTTTCTTTCTTTGAAATTGAAATACTTGTGCACATGCACGCGCCCGTGCACTTTTCTGTGCACGTGTGTTGGTATTATTTGATTATTATACACACACACATACATATATATACCGATATTTTTTTTTTTTTTGTAAAAAAACATTCTATTTTTACTACTAATTACAGAAAAGTGGAAAATAAATATTCATAAGAAAATATCTCACTTCCATTTTTTCTTGTTTGTCTTTATAAATAATTCCTTCTGATATTTAAATGATATTGTTATTTTCATATGAAAAATATTTATGTATCATAAATTATCATAAGAAAATGCAAAATTCCTTCTAGTTGTATTACCAATTCTTGGACATTATGATACTTGTTAGGGTTTGGCTAATGGGTGTCTAGTGGGCACTCGTCAAGAGAAGCATCAACTATTAGTTTCTCGGTAAGAATGTTATTAATTTGAAAAAGAATTTAAATCCAAGGGATGCCATAAATGTGAATGTATGTGTTCATATGATAAGATTGGTGTAAATTATGTGTACTTAAAAATGTATAACAACACGATTTTTCCAGAATAAATTTCTCAAAACATTGTGTACCTGAGGACATGATTCTCTTTTCACACCTCTTATACCTTAAAGTCTAATCAAAATGTCTGACCATTTATCAGCAGAGGGCAATATGTATGTTTCTGATTACACAAAGGGCAATTGCTACTTTAATCCGCATTACTGGGGGCAACATGCAATTAAGTCTAAAAATTACTGAGAGAAATCAACAATGAAATGGAAATCCTACTCAACAACTTTTCCTCCGACTTCTCTAACTTCTACTTTTTATCTGTTTTGGTCCTGGCACCTTTAATTTCCACCGGAGAATCTATCTAGTTAAAAGGAAAGTTCAAGGAACAAAGTCGCCGGGGACATCTATAGCACGGAGCCTATGATCTATCCTTTTCTTACTCTTAATCAATGTTTTGAAATTCTAACCGGCCATCGACTCGGTCGAGGTCAGGGGTCAGAAGTCAGGGATCAATGGGTTCGATCGAACCCATCCAAAAACCAGATGATACCATCATGATGTTATAAATATATTTAATTTTAAAAATTAATATACTATGCAAAATTTCTAAAAACATATTAATATTAAGAAATGTAGGTTCAATGTATATTTGATATTTCTAAAATACTTTACAGAAAATACAAAAAAGGTTGTATAATTAAGTAGCAATTTATGCAACTTACAATTTAATGCATATTCGACAATTTTAGAACCAAATTGGAGGACTTATTTGAAAAGTAATACAATAATTTAGGGCTATAGCTATAAGTTCTAAAATGTTTCTAGGTGTAATAATAGTTTTCTAGTACTCTAGGGGTCAAATCATAAAATTGATAAAATATTTCTAGGTGAATTTTTTACTTTCTTTTTTTAATGTTTTATCCCTTTTTTAACTTATATATTCCATTGGAGTTGTTTGAAAGAGATTTATAGTAGCATATATGAAGAGATTTGAGAGTGATTAAAAAAAAGAATCAAAAAAGGAAAACAAAAAAGGTAAAAAAGAAAAAGATGGAAAAAATACTCGGTTCGAAGCTGTTCTTCCGGATTTCGGTCAAACTCAGTCAAAATCGGATTTGACTGAATTTTTGTTTCACAGTTTTTTAAGACAACTTGGATTGAATGCCTACTTAGTTCCCAATTCAATCGATTGAACCAGTCGATTCGATCCGAGTTTCAAAACACAGCTCTTAATAAGGCATCACAAAACTAAACTGATCGATCCAAGAATTTTCGAAAAGCTTCTATTAGAGTCCCGAGTTTCTAGACTTACTAGTTATTACTTGACCACAGAGTCCCATCAACCCGATTTCCAGTCTCATGTAGTAATTTTTGGCTTTCCATGTGCTTAATTGTGAAAACCAGCTAGCTTTAGGGGAGTTAACCACTAGGTATAGCAACAAATGTAGTCATAGTTACTGGTTATATAGGAGTTCATACCATAGTTATTAAACTCAGTCCGGAACTCAACCTAGAGAGGTAATCGAATCACCGATTCAGGGCTAATTTCTTAGATTATAGGTTAAAAAAAAAACAATCCGCTAAATGTACCTCTGACAGGTTAGTTTTCTGAAACTATAGCGGCCGTGCTGACTCAGCACGGCCGCATATTTTTTTTTTTTTTTTTTAAAAAAAAGCAGTCAGCTGGGTCAAAAAGGCCTTGGTCAGGCGCCTGACAGTCAATAATTTCCAATGTCATCGCAATCCGAGAAAAACATGGCAGATTTTTTTTTTTTTCAATTTTAGGGATTTTTGTAAACTTAAAAGAAAATCAAAATGAATCATTTAGGACAAAGCAAATTGCTGCCTTTATGTGGAGGTAGCGAAGGGGAATCCTCCCCAAGGTTGAGCAAATTAATTTTCCTTTTGTACTCACAGAGATGAGGGCTTTTGGAGTTTCTATGAAGGTTTAACCCTCCAAAGTTAGTTAGAGATTTTCTTGAATACGCTTCTACTTCTCAGTCATAACACGAATAGTGCACCAACCAGAGTCAAGTTTTATACTTACTATGGCTTTATTTTACTAGTTTTAATTAGAAATTATTTTCAAAAAGTAGCTATTAAACATAATAATTCTTTTTTGATACAGGATAAAATGGATAATTGTGTTTTTTGTACCATGAATATTTAGAGAATATATAATGCATTTACTCTAGCTATTGCAAAATTGTTACCTGGAGCTGCATATCCGATGGATCCTTTTGGTGCAACAGCACTGCTGGTAGTTTCTTACTCAGAATCAATGTCAGCAGTTCTAGGAAGAAGCTTTGCTAATCCAAAGTCACCCACATGAGCTATAAGGTCATTGTCAAGAAGAATGTTACTTGGTTTCAGATCACAATGAACAATAGCAACTTCATAGTGGTTGTGAAGATAATCCAAAGCTGAAGCCACATTAACTGCAATATTTATCGTCTGAAGAAGGTCTAGATTTCTTGATCTAGTTGCTTCTGCTAATTCTGAATGTAACCACATGTCGAGACTTCCATTTTGCATATATTCGTAGACTAGTGCCTTGAATTCATTACCTTTGGTATCAATACTGGAGCAATAAGTTAAAAGAGTGAGAGAAGATTTCTATGGCGAATGCTTCTCAATGCTTTGCACTCAGCCTCAAAACTTTTGGAAGCCCCATTTTTTTGAAGGTCAAGAACTTTTACGGCAACTTCCTTGTCTTGGTGTTGATCTAACTTTCCTTTATACACAACTCCAAAGCTTCCTGATCCAATTAAGTTCGTGGATGAAAATCCTTCCGTGGCATGGTAGAGTTCATGATAAGAAATTCTCAATATCTTCTCAATCGGCTCTGAGGGCATCATTAAGGACTCTTTCACACATTTATCTCTTTTTTTATGTAAAAAATGATACAAAAAGAATGTGACAGAAATTACTAGTATCACTATGAGGACCAGGGGAATAACTATTACTAGCAGACGTTTTCCTTTCTTCTTTCTTTTGACAAGACAAGATGGTAGTTGCAGCTCAGGTATGCCTCCGCAAAGTTTACTGTTTCCTACCAATCTTATTTGGCTCGCATTTGCAAAAACTCCATCTGTTGGTATTTCACCTTCAAGGTCATTATAAGAAATATCCAGAAACTTCAGAAACACCAACCTGTTTATGTCTCTTGGTATTTGCCCACTGAAGTTGTTATGTGAAAGGTCCAAAAACTGGATGCCCTTCAAAGAAGCCAAAGCTGGTGGAAGTGTTCCATTGAAAAGGTTGCTCTGCATATCAAGGTACTGCATGCTTGAACAATCTCCAAGTGTTGAAGGAACTTCTCCGGAAAATTTGTTGCTGGAGACAACTAGCTGTTGAATGTTTGCCAATTTTCCTACTTCAAGGGGTAGGGAACCACTCAATGAGTTGTGTGATAAATCTAGAATTGTTGGCGATTTGTATGACCCAAAGATCTGAGGGGATACACTTCCACTGAAGTTGTTTTGTGAAATAAACAGCATTTGTAGACTTTTACAGTTCCGAAGACTTGGTGGACACCTTGGAAGTTGTTGCTGGACAAGTTCAGAACATATAGATTGGTAATGTTGCAGAGGGTAGATGGTACCTGTCCTGAAAGCATATTCCTGTCAACAACCAATACCTCCAGTTTCTGAAGTTTGCCAACATCACTTGGTAAGACACCTGTAAATAAATTATTTGCCAGAGACAGTATATACAAATGTACAAGATTTTCAATTCCCGCTGGAAAGGCTCCTGATATCTTGTTCTCTGATAGGTATAAATGTGTCAACTGATATGAGAGATTGTGAAGAATATTAGGCAATTCACCACCAAAGTTATTTTTAGCCAAAGAGAGTATTTCTAAATTGCTGCAGTTTGTCAAAGGTACAAGAAAGTTTAGATCACCGGCTGAATTGCTACCCTAGAGATTTCCTTGCAGACTCAGAATTCTAAGATTCAGCAAATATCCAAGGTTGTATGGAACATGGCCTTCAATTTTATTATCACCAAGATCAATTACTTCAAGCTTAGTACAATTGGTAATTGAAACAGGTATTTTTCCAGAGAACCGGTTTCCAGCAATACCTATTATATCTGAAGATTCGGTAGCTTGAGACCTAGGTTGGTTGGAAGGCTCCCATAAAGAAAATTATCTGGTGCAGTAAAGAAAGTGAGCGTAGAGATATTATACATGGATGAAGGTATTTGACCTGTTAGCTTATTTGATCCCACTGCTAGGAAAAACAAGGTGGTTAATAAGCTTATCTCGTCTGGAAGATTCCCCTCCAAATTGTTAAAGGTGAAGGATAATTGCTTGATTGAGGATAGGTTCCCAATTGTAGAAGGAATTTCTCCTGTCAAATTATTTACAGCAAGCTGGACTCAGAAACATTTTTAGGTGGTCGTCAAGGCAAATATATACTATAAGCCATTATGCACGACGAGCGAACCAAAATTTTTATCCTCATCATCCTCTTTGCTTCCTCACTAAAGAAAGAAAACAGAATTAGAATCTAATGGCCAAAGAAAAATTAGACAAAAAAATTGATAAAGCCCCACCCCCTGACACCCACGTACAAAACCCCCCAAAAGAAAAAAAAATTCTTTCTTATTTCAAGAACTGGTTTTCCCCCAAAACTCCCAAGCCCTCAACACCAACAAAATTACACACACAGCTATGGTGCTGAATGCCATAGAGTGCAGCTTATATCTCCTTCATTTTCTTGCTCCCCAAGGCTTTATGGTTTTTCTTTATTATTATTAAAAGGTAAAGTCAATTAATGGAGCCAGAAAAGCAATCAAACTTGACTACGGGAGTTGAGGTCAATTCTTCTTGTGGAATGATGAAGAAGTCATTCCTTGGTTTTCACACCTACATTTGCAGTGGATATTCGAGAAATAAAAATTAGTATTTACAAACAGAACAATCAGAAAAATGATTTGGACATAACCATGTAGTAGATGTAGAGGAAAAATTTCAGCGTAAAACAAGGACCACATTATGCTGAAAGAATCATGGTCTATTGCAGTACATTGGCAAGAGAATTACCTTAAGTTCTGGCGCAGGTTGATTGATATACCAAATCCAATTGATCCGTTTGTTCAGTAGTTCGTAGAGCCCACAGTGAGTTCCTGAACTCAATTCAAAGTATAAGCATTTCCCCAAGTTTGGATTTGCCTTCTTGAGATCCACCACAGCTTCAGCATGCTTGTTATTTGAAAATTCAAGAACACCCCTCCTTGCACAGTAAGCAGAATATCTATGTATAAGATAACAAGGACAAAATGTCATACACAGGAAATTTAAAGCAAGAACTTAAAGAGATATCGACTACTACCTTTCACAGACCTCAGCTTAAGATCAGGAAGGAAACTCTTTCAAACACTAGAAAGACAGACATCAGCAGCAATAAGTAAATCACTGACTATGTCATATGTGTCACCCGTTTCAAGAACTTTGCATTTAACTGTGACACAAGTCTTGCCTTCAGAAGTGCAAAATCCAAGGAAAAAATGCCCCCACAACACAACATCAGATGATAATGCATTGTGTAAAAAAGTATATAGATCAGCCCAGTATGCTGCTCGAAAATTTAAGTTTTCATCTCTCGTCAGAGTCCAGCTGATTTTCTTTTCACCATAGGTTGCTTTGTTCTATGAAGACAGAAATAGAGAAGTCAAGAGTAGTTGAGTTTTCAATTAAAGGATTCTAAGTTTCTGCTAGCAATGCCATCCACAGGACAGCGGTATGATATGATTTAGTTCCCTACAGACGCATGCTTTCATTATGAAACAATGTCTATCATCTGTTAACAAGCGTCCCAGAAGGGTAGGCAAGACAATAGAACAAATGCAACTGCAGCGATCAGCTGTCATCTAAATTCCAGAGCTCAAACATGATTACTTTCAGCTTCTATGACATTGTAAATGACTCTAAAGCTAGCTTCATGGCTAAAAGACTTTCTAGCTAATTGGTTCAGTAAGAAATGGTAATTTTAAACACTAAATTACAAAATGTCCAACAAATTTAATGACTATTTGATGGTTTGCTTTTGTTTGGAATCAGAAATCCATTTTGTCACCCTCAAAGGATTTCACCTTTAAAAAGAGTACTTTCAATTAATTCACTAATAGGGTTCTAGACAAGGGAGAAAGATCTAGTCCTTTTTCCTAATGCAGAAAAAAGGAGAGGGGGACAAGGGATCTAATTAGGACTAGTCTTAGCAATTGCCATACACCAGTCTAAATAAGTCCTTGCCGAGACTAATAAATTAGTGGAAATAACTTTTACTAGCACAAGCATTTAAGCAGGTTCCATACAACAGCCTGTCCGTAATTTCTTAGGAGTAAATAAGACCCAATTAGTATCTAAAAACATCAACGAAACCATTCATATTTTAAACTCATGAAGGATGTACAAATAATAAGAGAAAAAAGAAAAATAACCCTTGAAAGATAACATAATAAGGGTTTTTATATATTCAACATACTTGATCAATGCTCAGGAGCAAAGTGGAGTTCTTAGGAGTTGTGGAGGGGCAAAGAGGGTCAAGGCCAAGTCCAGCACCAGTTGGGCTCCCGCTTGGGGGTGTACAAGTTTTCTCCAGCACCACAACATCCCACCCTGCATCGATAAGAGCATGAGCACAAGATATCCCTGCTATGCTTCCTCCCACCACTACTGCTTTCGGCTTCCTGTTATTCTGCCACCCCTTCATATCTCATCAGTTGGAGTATTATTGTCTCCTTCTCGTGCTTGTAGTTTTGCTGGGATGGAATTGATTGGACATTTTTGGAGATGATTGGTCCATCCGTTTGGGGCCAAGTAGAATCATTTGGAGGGTACTGGGGTAGGTCCACTTGACATTTGTCAGGTTTGGTCCAATTGGTGTAATTCTTACTTTTTGTTTTCTCTTCCTATCGATGCTTCAGAGTCACAAGGGGCAGCAAATACGTAATAATGGACCTAAAGTAAAATTTTCATTATGTGCAGTTTTCTGGAAAGGTGTAGGGTACAAAAACATAGTTTAAGGTTCCTTTATTCATACATAAAATGCTATATCTCCTCAACAATCCAACCGCTCTAAGTTGTTACATCAAATATTGAAGGAACATCAGTGAAGAAAGGCATATTCTTTTGCTGAAGGTCATCACATTCTTCAGGCGTTGCCGTTCTTGGATCAAAAGGTCTGCGACCCGCAACGTTTAAACCCTGTTTGATGCAACCCATCCGCCTAGAATGCAATACTTGCTTTGAAGTAACTGGCAGCCGAATAGACTGATAATCTTCAAGGGCTAAATTTAGATTTTCCACCCCCCACTTCTGAAGGCATTTGCCTAAAACTGCAGCATCCAATACTGACATGTTTGTGCTTCTCAGACCATGAGGAGTTGTAGGATGAGCTGCATCTCCAATCAAAACTACATTGTCCCAAAAGATTTGCTTCAGAGGTTCACAATCATACATGACATTTAGGAAGGGTTCTTTGGTTTCTTTTATGATCGTTGCTAATCCTGGGACCCAAACTTTTTCTGCTGCCTCATGCAGCTGCTCAATCATGTCGCTGCTAACTTTCATGGTCACTGAGTTTCCCTAAGTAAAAAGATCAAGAAGTACATCAGCTTAGGCATAAAGAGCTAATTGCTTTTCTCATGTTTCAGTCGAACTTGCTTTCATTCTTTTGAAGGTAACATTTGATTGAATCAGTTATATTGGGTTTGTCTTAGATAGTCGTATAGTTATGTTTCCATTATTTGAGAAGGTAACATTCATTTCCCTCTTCTCATTGTGCTTATGAGGGAGGTATTATTTCATTTCCCTGTTTCCTTCACTCCTTCAATGTTGGCTGTCTTAGAGAAATATTAAAAAAGGAAATGTCTAATTCTGATCACACAGTTGCAATTTGTTCTGTTAAGCATATTTTAAAAAATTTGGATAATGATAGAGAAGTCATTCCTTGGCCCTTGAGCCAATAAGGGAGGAATCAGAAGAATCAGAAGGACAATATTCGCATAACCCTATCATAGCTAACAAGGCAAAATATCAGCCTAGAAGAAACACGAACCATGCTGAAACAAACCTCTTTTGATCAAAAAATGGTAGAAAAAAAGATTACCTTAAGTTCTGGCTCAGGTTGATTGATATACCAAATCCAATTGATCCGTTGGTTCAATAGTTCGTAGATCACACTGTGAGTTCTCGAACTCAAATCAAAGTATAGGCATTTCCCTAAATCTGGGTATGCCTTCTTGAGGTCCAATACAGCTTCTGCATGCTTGTTATTTGAGAAATCAAGAACACCCCTCCATGCAGTGTAACCTGAATATCTATGAACAAGATAACAATGTAAAAAGTATCACATACAGGAAATTTAAGGCAAAAAATTAAGATAAAAATTTCTGACATTACTATTTACAGACCTCAGCTTAAGATTGGGAAGGAAGCTCTTTCGAATGCTGGAAAGACAGCCATCAGCAGCAATAAGTAGATCACCTACTATGTCAATTGTGTCACCGGTTTCAAGAACTTTACATTTAACTGTGACGCTAGTTTTGTCATCAGAGATGCAAAATGAAAGGAAATAGTGCCCCCACAAAACAGTATCAGATTGTAGTGCATTGTATAAAAGGCTATATAGATCAGTCCAGTATGCTGCTCTAAAATTGAAGTTTTCATCCCTTGTCAGAGTCCAGCTGATTTTCTTTTCTCCATCAGTTGCTTGGTTCTACAAAGACAGAAATAGAGCAAGTCAATTTTAACTGAAATGATGAATTAAACGAGCCCGTAGTTTACATATAAGATATCTTTCTGAAACTTAAATTGGCAGAATGGTTACCTATAATACAGGGATGACAAATGCAGTATCATCCTTTCCATAAAAAATGAAAATCATGAACCACATTTTTTAACTGATGGTGTAAGTGATGCTATTATGCTAGTTAAAGTAGTCTATCTAGTTTATATCATACACAGGCAAATTAGTAACAGATTTTGCAACAAATGCAACCCTACAATAGCGGTATGATATGGTTTGGTTTACTAGAGACGAATGCTTTTGTGCTGAAGAAATGTCTATCATCTTTTGACCAGAGTCTTAGCAGGGTAGGCAAGAAAATTGAACAATGCATCTGTTGCGATCAAATGCACTGGAAACGCAAAGCTCAGAGATGACTATTCCAAGCTTATATAACATTCTAAATTGCAGTAAAGCTAGCTTCATTGCTAACTCGAAGTTGAAAGACTTGGAATCCATCTTCCGAGTCCCATATCAACAAGAATATTCCCCCACATCATAATCAGTTCCTTTTTGCTACTAAAAAAACTTGCATTTTAAAAATAAAATTGGAAGATTTGTGTAGTCCCGGTAGTCTACACCATAATGACTGACAAACCAAGCCAACTGAAAGTTCTCCGCTTCTACACAACCCCTTTCCAAAGAAGGACAGAAAGGAAGTACTTAACAATCTCTGCAAGACTGTTCCCACATTGAACAACAAAATAAGTCCTTGCTGAAACTCAGATTAGCATCTAAGCAATTCCCTTAAAACAGCCAATCCACAACATCTTAGAAGTTAATATGATCCAATAGCAGTAATTAAAATCGAGAATGAACCAGTCCGTTCTTTCAAAATTCAAATAATTTAAGACTCACAATCAACAGGAGCAAACAGGAAAATAACTCTTCAACATGAAATTACAAAAGGGCATTTGTTAAACATACTTGATCAATAGTGAGGGGCAAAGTGGAGTTGTGGAGAAGCTGAGGGTTCCTCAGCCAAGTCTGAATGATTTTCTGAGCCGAAGGGTCAAGTCCGAGTCCAGCACCAGTTGGGCTTCCACTTGGGGGTGCACAACTTTTCTCCAGCACCACAACATCCCATCCTGCTTCAATCAGAGCATGTGCACAAGATATTCCTGCTATGCTTCCTCCCACCACCACTGCCTTGGGCTTCCTGCTATTCTGCCACCCCTTCATCTATTATTACTTATAGTACAATATCTCTTTTTTTTGTGCTTGTAATTTTTCTGGAACGGAATTGATTAGAGCTATATTGGAAGGTGATGTGTTCCATCGGTTAGTTTGAGGTCAAGAAGAATCATCTGAATACTACAAGAAGGAGATTCTCCTTTATATCCTTTTCTTGTCTCTCTTTTTGCACTTTTACAAAGTTTTGGTCTCAAATTAATTTTTTTTCCTTGTTTTTAAGCTAACTTGTACTCATTAAATTCTTCCCTTTGTCATTATTGCACGTGCAGTAATGCTAATTCTTTAATTAAACATATTTGCAAGGAAGTATTGTAATTTTGGTTCCTAAATTTGAGCGGCGAATGGTCCATAATGTTTTACTGAAAAGAAATTTGGTCCCTAAGATTTTTTTTTTGAGGCTGGTCCTAAGATGTTCAATGCTAACTAAAGCCAGTTTAAGCTAGGAATGACAACGGCTTGCTGCCCCACCGCCCCCCCCCCCCCCGGGGCTGCCCACCCACATGGGCTAATAAAAGTGTTAAGTGTAAATGTATAAATGTATTAATAAATATTTCGTGTTAAGTATAAATGTATTAATGTATTGTGTTTAGTGTAATTAGAAATTTAGTATAAATATATTAGTAAATTTAGCATAACTAATTAATAATTTCTATAAGTATACATGTATAATTATTAATATAATTGATAATATTAATTATATTATACATACTAATATACATTATATAATACTTATTACTAATAATATCATTATTATAAGTTTATAACTAATTAAATTAAATATTAAATATTTAATTATATATATTTAATTTTTTCAATGGGTGGCTGGTGGGGGATGGAGTGGGGATATACTCCCCTACCCTCCGTCTCGTTTTTTAATAGGGGAGAAAAATGCCGCCTTCCCCCCGCCTACCCTCAACCCCCATCCCAATCATGCCCGCCATCCCTATTTTAAGCTGTTAAGCGTCAGTTGATGAAATTGAAACTTAATTAAGGTTAAGCAACCAACATATCAAGCCAAATATAGAGGTTTTGCTCCATTCTAGGCGTACTATATCTCTTCTTGTTTGTTTTGATTTTCTTGACAATACTCAAAGAGAAGTGATTGTTTGAAGTTTTTTTTTGGGATAATTTTAGGAACCTCCATTGAGGTTTCTCACAATTTCACTCGGCTCCCATTAGATTTAAGTAATTACACTTGCCTCCCTTGCTATAGTAAAGTACTTATAATGGCTTTCATTTGGTAGACAATTCACGATTTAACACAATAGACATATAAAACCCAAAAAAAATTCCTATTTCTCTATCTCGCATCTATTTTCACTCCTCTATTTCCTTGATATTATATTGCTATGTCCTCTTTTTATTATCTTCAATTTTATGGATTTTAGCAAATTGAAATTGCAAAATCGATAAATGGAGCAGATTATGTGTCAAATTAGAAGGAAACGAAAAGGTTCACAGTGATAGAGAAACAAATAATGAAATTAATGATTAAAATAGAAAGCTGAACCAAAAACATGGAATTTATCATATTTTGTCTGTTATCAAGAAAAATGTTTGTAAAATGTCAATACTTTGCAGAAGGATTTCTTTCGTTCAATTAGTAATTGTTGGTTATTATTTTGTTGTGAAGGTAGAATTTATTCTCTACTTCTTAGATGTTAATATTTTGTAGGATTAATCACAAAAACTCCCCCTAACGAATACCACTTTTGCACTTTATCCCCTAATGTTATTGTTTTCTCATTTTGTCCCCTAACGATTATCATAGTTAGCTCTTAGGGATAATTTCAAAACCTCCCCTAAGATTTCTCATAATATCACTTAGCTCCCTTGAGGTTTTTAAAATCTCACTTATTGGAATCATACAAGTATCCTAGTGAATGTTGGCCACACCATAATTTCTATGGATAGGTTCTAACTCTTTCAATTTACTTTGCATGGTCTTGTGATTTCTAACCAGGATAACACTAATTAAGAAGTTGTATTTATGAAGACAATAATTTTTCGTAGTTAAAAATGATGTTTTAATATATATATATATATATATATATATATATATATATATATATATATATATATATATAGAGCTGCGTACTAGAACAAGAGAGAAAAAGAGGCCTACATATTGGTATATCATAATTTTGTCTTTATTAATATGCTTGGACAAACATAAATATTAATCAATAGTGGAACAAAATAAAATTCCTTTTGAATTAGTCTATGTCTACATCATATATGTAAACATAAGAACACGTATCCACATATTTCATGTCTACGTTTTGACATGTGAACGTAGAGATGCATATGTCATTATGTAATTAGGATTTGTTTACAAAAATTAGTCATTTGAAATCATGTAAAATAATTGAAAAATAAAATTAGTTTTCAAACTAATATAGTTTTAGGTCATATCAAAAAATTATTAGACATATTAAGTTAGTTATAGACTTGCAAGACAATTTTTTTCTCAATTCCCGATTGAAAGATATATTAGGTCATCAACTAATAATTGATATTCAATTAATTATACTGAAAAGCTCAAGTAATACTCAATTAACACCTTGCATCTTTGATTATTTTGGGATATCAAACTTTAGGAACATCTTTGACACGAATATCACCAAAATAAATACATGCAACGTGCAATGCACGTACTCTTGCACTAGCAACATAAGAGAAATGTGCAAATATTTTAAGATAAAACCAGAAATTTACTATATGAAAGGTCTCCTCATTCAATATTACAAAGTCATACATTAGCCTTTCATCAAAACGACCTAAGCTAAAACAACAACTTCAACTTAAGCATGTATTCCAACATTAGTTGAACTTTATATATTGAAGTGACAATTATGTTAATCCAATATTTCCTAATTTTTTAAGTAGCAAAGGTTTGGAAAAGGGAATAAAAGATCCTACAAGATAAATTATCTAAAAACAAAATAAGAATGCCATCTAAAATATATTTCTCTAAAATATCTAAAATAAATTGAAAAAGTTTTGATTTTTTACTGGAGTAATTTCAATGGAGCCAAAATTGTGATGTATCAGTCATCTCTTTGTACAAATCCTTCATCAGATGAAGGATCACGAACAGGGAACCTCTAGTTCCTCAAGTTCTTTTCCTAAAGCCATTTTGGTTTTTCTCAAAATAACGCTACTATAAGTGCTACTTAGCATGTCTTAAGCTTATATATACATATATATATATTACAACAACGATAACATTCCTATAATCTAACCTATGCATAAGCTTATATACCTCCGTCCACTTTGGTTTTTCGCTGAATAATACTACAACAAATGCTACTTAGCACACCTTGCACTTATATGCCTCTAGCTATTTGGCACCATGTAGCACCCAAAAAAATGAATTTTTCTAATAAGTACTCGATGGACACTTGTTAACATATCTAAATTATAGTCAATCTACCATGTACATGGACACATTAACAAACATTACTCTTCCTTACATTTATATGCTCTCCCAAATTAATTTTATTTTTTCAAAAATTTAGCACATGAATTACATCTTAACGAGTGCCCAATGGTTGGGCACTTAGACAGACCAGAAAAAATTATATGTGCAAGCAATTTGTTTTTTCCCTCATATTTTTAGTAGTTTTCGACACAACTTTTTGAGGGCAATTTAGAAACCTTGAGGGATGTTTTTGAAATTATTCCTTTTTTTTCTAGTTGTATCTTAATTTGTTTTAGTTTGCCTCTTATTTCAATTTGTTTGAGCCTTAGCAAGGGAGTTTTTAATATAAGCTGGTTAACATATATAAAACCATGAAACGCTCGGTGATTTTTAATCAACAATTGAGTAAAATGCTCGGCATGCCATTTAATCCTTCTCGTAGTAATTTGGTTAATTTTTTTCTTGCCACAACGATAACATTCCTATAACCTAATATATCTTATTATATAGGGAAGAGAAGTCTAAAAAGACTGTGTAAAGAAGTTAGCAAATATACAGATCTAACTAGATCAAAGAGATAAAGTCCCTCTTTAAACTGTAGGTCAAAGGTTCGAATTCCACTTGCAGAGAAAAAATCCAAAGGAGATACCAAAGCACCTCTTTAGTCTAGTTAGATTTGGTCAAGTGAGATAAGAGTGATAAGTCATAATTTGTGCTAAATTTATAATTATTTTTCCCTTTGATTTTAGCCAAATATTATCTTAATTGATATATTCTACTTATATTTGGTATTTGGGATTAATTGCAGGAAGTGGTGAAGAAAAAGTACTGAAAATCGTCATTCCAGCAGACTCCCTGATAGGTTGGCGTGCCCACGCCTAACTCCAGCTTTCAAGGACGGATTCTCGGGATAATTTGCACACGTGAAAGTTTCCAAAGCTGTATGAAGCAGCGGACTTCAATGCTGAAAGGCAGTGGGGCCATTTCAAGAGTTAAAGAAAGCTATCTATAATAGGACTCCTATTGTTTAGGAAAATTGGTACCCCAGCACCAATTTTGAAGGAGAGAAATCCGGATGGGGATTTGTTTATTCTCTCTGGTGGGCCTAGCCTAAAAAAAAAGGAATTTCCTTCATCCCATTGAGTGGCCCAAAAACGTAGAGGATTAGGAGACTTAGTGAAGGCTTGTCTTTAAATTGGTTTTGACTTGGAAAAGCTAGGGGGGAAGGTACGGAGGTCAGGGACTTTTCCTCCGTAGCCGACTTTGACTTTTATTTGGCCAGGAACAATTTTGTAAGGTTCGAATAGCCTTTCCGCGTGGGTTGTTCTCCATTAATGGAGAACTAGTTTCTCAATGCTAGTCAAGGGGCACAACTGAAGATTTGGTTCAACAATTACTGTGAGATCTAATTTATTTTAATTGCTTCCTCCATTTATTGGTATTCATATGTTTCCTGCTTTTAACCGTTATAGCTCGTGTGGATGATTGATTAGTGCGCAATAATTGATTATTCATATAGGCTATTTTGCTAAATAGAGGTAATTGAATCCGTAATTGTTCGTTACCTCTATCCCAGTAGCAACTGGCGTAATTGGGTTTATGTCAGGGAAACATACGATCTAGTTTAAACAAACCCTCGTAGCGTGTTTGTTAATTAGGATTGGGCCTTTCTAATTACTAATGCAATCTAGAAATTGAATCCTACGGTCGTACCTAG